CAATGGCCTTCTCTGTTGAAAGAGGCAAATGTAGTCCTTGTTCACAAAAAGAAGAGCAGAGCAGAAATCAGTAACTACAGACTAGTGTCACTGCTGTCAATAACTGGCAAGATCCTTCAGACACTAATCTCTAGACAAATGACAGAGTTTTTTTGACTACCACTCACTACTTTGTAACCGTCAATATGGCTTCAGGAAAGGTTACTCTGCCGCTGATCTGTTGTTAAACCTCTCCACTAGGTGGCACCAGTCACTGGATGAATCCAAAGTCAGCTGTGTGGTAGCACTGGATATTGCTGGTGCTTTCGACCGGGTGTGTCACCAGGGCCTCTTAGCAAAACTGCAAGCTCTGGGAATTGCAGGCTCTACGCTATGTCTCCTCAGTGACTACCTTCATGATAGATCTCTAAGGGTAGTTCTCAATGGAACAGAATCAGCAAGACATCCTATTGGGGCAAGTGTTCCACAAGGAAGTGTGCTGGGACCACTGTTATGGAAAGTCTACTTCAATGATCTTCATCTCATCCCAGAATTCCATGCATATGCAGACAACTGTACACTGTCATTCACTTATTCAAGAGAAGAAATGCCAACTGCTCTAAGCTACATTAATCACCAGCTAAGAGCTATATCAGCTTGAGGAAATAGATGGCAAGTAAAATTTGCACCTGAGAAAATGCAAATGATGATGGACTCTAGGCACCATGACGGTAATGCCTATGCAGTAGTAAGGCTGAATGGGAGGGTGTTGGCACCTGGGGAAGAAGTTGATATCCTTGGGGTGAAATCTGACTCCAAACTGACCATGAAGAACCACGTTGTAAATCTTGCAAACAAGGCAGTCTGGGAGCTTACAGCACTTTGCCATATCTTGCATCTGCTTGACAGTAGGGGTTGCAAGATTCTGTACAAGGCACGAGTACGCTCACACCTTGAGTATGCTCCACTTTCTTGGTTTGCCTGCCCCCCCTCATCTGCAACTGCTTGACAGAGTAGAGAACAGAGCAAGATGTCTCATCTCTCGCCTGGACCAATCCTGGATAGATCTGTTATTTAAGCAGAGCCTTCAACATAGGAGGGATGTGGGTGGCCTTACTGTTATGTACAAGGCCAATATTGTCAAAATACTACACTTGGATCCACTTCGAGGAAAGCACGAAGCAAGCTTCTATACCACAAGACGGGCAGAAAGCAGCAACTTCACTCTGGCTGTACCCTTCTCGAGAACATCACTTCACCTGAGATCATTGATCCCCAGGATGACTCGAGTGTTGAACGCATTCGTACAACATTATGATGTCAACGAGATAAAGTCAGTTGATCAGATGAAAATGCTGGTCTACAGATGACTCCAACTTCATCCTGTTCCCTACTTGTGTGTTTCATAACAATAAAAATGCTTTCAAGTGAGCTGATGTAGGTAACAGCTCTTAGCTTGTCAATAAAGTTAGGAATCCATTCTACGTAATGCCTCACGCACCTCCCCCACACTCACATCCTGCTCTTCTTCACTCCTGAAAGATGGTATACCTCCCTGGCCAATGCATGAAATTACTGCCTTCCTTTCTTCAAACATTTAAAAGTTCCTCAAAATATTCCTGCCATCTATCCAATACCTCCATCTCCCCATCTAGTAACTCCCCTACTCTGTTTTTAACTGACAAATCCATACTTTCCCTAGGCTTTCTTAACTTGTTTAACTCACTCCAAATTTTTTTCTTATTTTCATTAAACTTTCTTGACAGTGCCTCTCCCACTCTATCATCTGCTCTCCTTTTGCACTCTCTCACCATGCCTTATCGTAGTGTGATAAGGCAAGGTGAGGCTGCAAGTTCTGACCAAAAAGCAGCTGAAAATTTATTTTTTTATTAACACATCAGCTGATTCCCACCAAGGCAGGGTGGCCCAAAAAAGAAAAATTTTCATCATCATTCACTCCATCACTGTCTTGCCAGAGGGGTGCTTTACACTACAGTTATAAAACTGCAACATTAACGCCTCCTTCAGAGTATAGACACTGTACTTCCCATCTCCGGGTTTTTCATCGTTGGCCGAGCCAATATTTTTATGCTAAAACGCATCGCTATCCGATTTTATTGCTAGCCGATGTCATCGTTACCCGAGGGTTCACTGTATAAAAATAATAGAATTACAAATACACAAGAAAAAGTAAATGCTTTTTTTATATTTGTTCTGGAAAATTAAACAAAATAAACAAATTCTGACAGCAAATTGTATACAGGATATGAAGCACTCTAACAACTAGGACTTACGTATAAGTTGTTTGGATTCCAGTTTCCAAAAAATCTGAATGCCGAGCAACACGTAGCTCGATGAATCTTCTGGTCAGCTCATTAGGCCCTGATAAAGAAAAATTGCATTTAATTATGTAACTAAATAAAACACAGTGGGTACATGATTATCTGAACTACAGTAAACTATGGCACCTTTCTTATATTATTTTTATTTAATCCTACCACTACAATAGATATCTACTCATTACCAGGATACACAGCAATCCACAACTGCAGACCACACCAAGTTGGGGGTGGTATTGCAATCTATTTCTCTAATGAAATCATGTTATAACACCACTTGCTATAGTGATGAATATGGAGAATATATTTTTGCTAATATTACTGTAAAAAACCTTAAGACTCCTATAATACTCGGGACCATTTACTGGATGCCTCATACAAACATCCCAAATTTTAGTGATAAACTAAAGACACTAATAACAAACAACAAAATCTTTAAGCACCACCTTCTCTTAGCCGGAGACTTCAACATCAACCTTGGCCTACTAGATGACCAGCCAGTAACTGATTTCATCAACAATATGAACAACGCACTTCTCATACCAACAATAACTAAACCAACCAGGCTGAGACAAGTGCAACCATAACTGACCATATATGGACCAATATCCTAGGTCCCCCTTAAATCAGGGATAATCACAGACAGCACTACTGACCACTACCCCAGCTTCCTCTTAACAAACATTAGTAAACCACCACTGGAATACAACAAAGTTTCATTTAGACTCCATGACGAGGTCTCAATAAGTAACTTCACAGCAGAGTTAGAGATGGTTGACTGGGCTACAGAATTCTCTAATGCCAATAGTATCGATGACTGGACAGACATATTTCTTAATAAATTACTTACATCTGGGTAGTAGGTTGGTAGACAGCAACCGCCCAGGAGGTACTACCGTCCTGCCAAGCGAGTGTAAAACGGAAGCCCGTAATTGTTTTACACGATGGTAGGATTGCTGGCATCTTTTTATTCTGTCTCATACACATGCAAGATTTCAGGTACATCTTGCTACTTCTACTTACACTTAGGTCACACTATACATACATGTACAAGCATATATATACACACCCCTCTGGGTTTTCTTCTATTTTCTTTCTAGTTCTTGTTCTTGTTTATTTCCTCTTACCACCATGGGGAAGTGGAACAGAATTCTTCCTCTGTAAGCCATGCGTGTTGTAAGAGGTAACTAAAATGTCAGGAGCAAGGGGCTAGTAACCTCTTCTCCTGTATACATTACTAAATGTAAAAAGAGAAACTTTCGTTTTTCCTTTTGGGCCACCCCGCCTCGGTGGGATACGGCCGGTGAGTTGAAAGAAAGAAGAAATTACTTAGACTATATAACAAACATTGTCCTATAAAAACAAAACAGATTACGAATAAACGGCTAGGTTGCCCATGGCTAACTAACAGCTTACTAAGATCCATTAACACGAAACATCAATATGAAAAGCAATATAGACAGGGCTTAATACACAAAGATATTATTAAACACTATTCATCAGTTCTCACAAAACTAATAAAAAAAGGAAAACAATAGTATTACTCCAGCAGATTCACTAAAACAAGAGGAGATATAAAAAAGACCTGGAAAACACTCTCACAGATTCTGGGCACCCACAAACTGAAAAAAACTAGGGATATTGTCCTAACTAAACTGAACAAAACACCATTACAGCCTATTGATACAGTTAGCAAGATAAATGACTTCTTCTCAACCATAGGATCAAATCTCGCCAGTAAAATCCCAGGTACCAATGCCCAAGCAAGTAATTACTTAGATGGGAATTTCCCAACCACCTTCTATTTTGCACTTACTGAGCCCACTGAAGTCACCACGATGATCAAGTCACTTAAAAATAAATCAGGGAATCTGTCTCAAGTCCCACCAGTATTATACAAGCAAGCGGCCCATGTCCTTTTGCATGTTATTTCATTATTTTTTAACATATCACTAGAAACTAGCACTTTCTACTCAAAACAGCAAGGGTTACACCAATACACAAAGGTGGTGACCCCACAGACATAAACAACTATAGACCAATATCAAACTTACTGTTGCTATCCAAAATCTTCGAGAAACTCATGCACAAGAGATTATACTCATTTATAACAACACAAAGCATACTCAACCACTGCCAATTTGGCTTCAGAAAAAATAAAAGCACTAACGATGCAATTCTAAAAATGATAGACCTCCTTTACACAGCACTGGAAAATAAGAAATATCCATTAGGACTTTTTATTGACCTAAGGAAAGCTTTCAACACAGTAAACCACAGCATCCTTCTCCACAAACTTGACTATTGTGGTATAAGAGGCCATGCACTTGCATATTTCAAATCCTACCTCGCTAATAGGTATCAGTGTCACCATTAAAGACACAACCTCCTCAACACGAACAATTGATACTGGAGTGCCTCAGGGAAGTGTCCTTGGTCCCTTGCTCTTCCTCTTGTATCACAATGTATCACAACACCTAAAACCAATTCTCTTTGCTGACGACAAGACTTATGTCATCTCCCACCTAAAATCTTGCCACGCTCAACACCATTGTTAACGATGAACTACTAAAAATATCTACGTGGATGACAGCCAATAAACTTTCACTCAACACTGATAAAACCTTTTATATTATGTTTGGTCACAGAGCAGGTGATGCACAATTAAACATTAAGATCGACAACACTCTTATTGCTAAACATAACGAGGGCAAATTCCTGGGCCTACACCTCGACAGCAACCTGAAATTCAGCACCCATATCTAACACGTAACAAAAAAAAGTATCCAAAACTGTATGGATCTTCTCTAAGATACGTTACTACGTTTCACAATCAGCCCTACTCACACTATACTATTCACTCATCTATCCCTACCTCACATATACCATTTGTGCCTGGGGATCAACAGCAATTACCCATCTAAAGCCAATAATAACCCAACAAAAAGCTGCAGTAAGAATTATCACGCAATCCAATGCTAGGGAACACACACCCCCACTCTTCAAAGACCTAAACTTACTCACTATTCAGAACGTCCACACTTACTACTCTGCAATCTACATCTACAGAACCATAAATTCCAATATTAACACTGAACTAAAACACTTTCTTGATAGTTGTGACAGGACCCATAGACATAATACCAGACACAGACATCTCTAACATTGCCCATGTCCGGCTAAATCTGTACAAAAATTAAATGTACATAAAAGGGCCTAAAATCTGGAACTCCCTGCCTGAACACTCTAGAACTGCAGACACAACCACCATTTTCAATTATTATTATTATAATAAAAAAGAAGCGCTAAACCACAAGGGCTATACAACGCTGCCACCGTTTTCAAAAGCACCATTAAAAAAATCTTATCTCCCTTACACACCCCACCAATAGCTAACCACATGAAAACTATTTCATCTTCCACATATCCAAAGCAAAATACATGTACACTTATTGTTATCTGTGACTTCCCCTAATCTACACATGACTGTAAACATAAAATTCTGAGTACTACAGCTATTGCTTCATACCAGAATGAGACCATTTCCATTACTAAATAAACTAATTGTTAAGTTCTTAAATATTTTGAACTACCTCAACTTTGTATATCTAGTTAATCACTACAATTACCTAACCTTATTACCAGTATGATTCATATCTTGTGTCAATATAGAGTAAGAACTAGTGTTAGTCTTCCCGAAATGCCTAGGCATACCTAGGTATACTAGTGGCCTTCTTTGTAATAAGTATTTTATAATATGCAATAATAATATATTATAATATGTAAACCCCACATTGTAATATTAACAGAGAAATAAAGAATTTTAATTTTTAATTTTAATTTTTTATTTTTGCAAGAAGGCTTGGTCATTTAACAGCCATCTGTAAGCATGTTAGACAGGAGTGAGTGGAGGAAAGTGGCTTTTATAATTTGATGTGCTGTTGGAGTGTGAGCAAGGTAACATTTTTGAAGGGATTCAGAGAAACCAGTTAGCTAGACTTGGGTTCTGGAAGTGAGAAGTGCAGTGCTGCACTCTGAAGGAGGGATGGGTGCTGCAGTTTAGAGGGGCATCCAAGCAATGCAACAAGAAGGCTTGGATGACAAGACAATTCTTCAGTAAATAGGCTCAAGAAATGTTTGTCCATCAGTCAACAGCTACTTGCAAATCCACATACTTCCTCATAAGGGACTTTTACTGTTCGATAATATACCAGTACATGATCCAAAACTTGCCCAATCTCTGGAGGCAAAATTTAATTTTGTTACAGCTAAATTCCTCCCACCCAACACCACTCTTTTGCTTCAGCCTATGAACCAGTAAGTGTGAATTTCAAAAAGATTTACACCAAAATGTTTGCCAAATGCTTTGCAGAGACTTCAGTTGATAAAACCATCAACCTCAAGGAATTCTGAAAGATTAGGTTAAACATCTTATTGTGAGGCTCATATTGAGTTCCTGGAATGAAGTTTCCATTCAGTGTCTCAACACAGCCTGGAAAAACTTGTGGCCCTCAGTCGCCTTCGATTTTGAAGGATCTGAGGCTGAGGAGGATGTAAACCAGGAGGAGACTGTCACTCTTGGTGAGGCAATAGGGGTGAGGTTGATGAAGCAAATGTGGAGGAATTAATTCAAGACTACAGACAGATGACAACAGAGGTGCTCCAACAATTAGGGGAACTGGATGACAGTGGGGAGGAATGAATGGAAGAAGATAATAAAATAACAGTTCCAGAAATTACTGAGTTTCCTCAGTGGGATGGTGTGAAAAGAATCATAAGCACCCAGACACTCAAAAAACTGAACTCTTTGTGTTTTGGATGATGTTTTCACCTTATTTTAAGAGTCTCGGAAGACTCTTAGACAGTGGCTGAAAGGAGTTTCTTCCAACCCGTCCCCTCCTATCCACCCTCTACCCTACCTTCAAACCACCAACTCTTCAGGTCCAAAGTACAGTAAAATTTGCACTTCTGGAGTCTTAAAATGAATTACCATAAAACCATGTATTTTGAGGTTTGAGCTATGATAGTTTCAAGATACAATAT